GGACTTCCTTGAGGGAGGCGACTAAATCACACACAGGGAGCAAGAAGTTTAAGGAACTTTGGTAGACAGGGCAAGAAATACCAGGTGAAAACACTGACCCTTTGTGTGAAGTACTCTTTCCTGGTCCTACGGAAGTGGGAAAATAAGAGATTTAGAAAACTGGTCTATTCCCTGTGATCAGATATATATCATCCTCTTCCCTCCCTAAAAAGCAGAATGCAGTAAAAACCCTTTTCTCCCCTATGGCCCAGATTTATTAGACATATAAAAAGACATCAAAAGAAGAAAAACAGGAAGGTGGCCCAGATGCTGCAGCCCTGAATATACCCAGCTAGAAAGGCATCCTTCTTTCCCTGTCTCTCTATAGGAACAACCTCATAGTTGGGTGAGGGGAGGGGACACTCTCTGAACCAAAAACTGGTACCCTTAGTGTGATAATAGTTCTTTTGCAAAATTCTGCACTAGTATTCTTTCTTTTCATGAAAATGGGACTGTCCTAGAAAATCTAATGTGAAGGGTGTCCATGTCTGTAACTGCCTACCTCTCTTCCTGTGTGCTGGGAGTGCTCACCCTAGGATGATGAAAGGGAAATTTGTTCATGTGCCTGACTGCAAAAAAAATGTAGCAATAGGAAGTTATTGCAAAGAGATTTTAAATTTGTATCATGAATCCTAGGAAGCCAGGAGCTTCTGGGCAATGCGTGAATAATAAAGAAGAAATTTAACATCTTTTGGCAAAGAAAAAAAATCATTTTAATGATATCCTAGAGTTAATTAAAGTCAACTTCTTCAAATCCATGAAGAATTTGGCTGGATAGGAATAAGTGTTGTCCCTCATTGTTGAAAAAGGACCATGAGATGTCTTTTTCTCTCCTCCTCCCTCATACTATTTCTTCTTCCCCTTCCTCTTCCTTGCTATTCTTTTCCCTTCCTCTCCCTTCCCTTCCCTCACTATTCTCTCACCTCCTTTTCCCTCCCCTCTCCTCATCTCTCCTCTTTTCTCCTCTCCTCTCCTAATAAATCAATCAATAATATGTATTAATCAGCTACTATGTGTCAGATGGCCAGCTAGACAGCACAGCTAGACTCATCTTCCTGAGTTCAAATCTGGCCTTAGACACTTACTAATTGTGTGACTCTAGGCAACTCACTTAACCTTGTTTGCCTCAGTTTCCTCATCTATAAAATGAGCTGGAGAAGGAAATGGCAAACCACTCCAGTATCTTTGCCAAGAAAACCCCAAATGGGGTCATAAAGAGTTGGACACAATTGAAAACAACACTATATGTGCTAGGTATTGGGGGTACAAGTAAAGGAAATAATCCCTGTCCTCAAGAAGTTAAATACACACACACACATATATACATACACACGTACACATACACACATACACATTTTGTCTATATCCATAAGATATGTATGTAAATATATGTGTGTATACATATATATGTGTTTGTGTATATAGAATAAACATAAAGAGAATATATACAAAGTAGTTAAGTACAAAGTATTTTGGGAGGAAGAGCACAAGCAGTTGGGGGGATCAGGAAAGGCTTCCTGTAGAAGGGGGTTCCTGATCTGCATTTTAAGGAAGAGAGGGATTCTGTGGGGCAGAGATGAGGCCAGAGGGCTTTCCATGAACCAGGGACAGCTGAACAAAGGCAGGAAGAAATAAGACAATGTCATGCAGGATGCAGACATAGGGTTAATGTCAAATGAGGCTACAGAGATTGGTTAGGGCCAAGTTGTGAGGGGTTTGAAAAGCCAAACAGAGGAGTTTGTATTTTATCTTGGAGGCAATACTGAGCTAATGAAGTTGGTTGAGTCATGTGGTAAAATCTGCTCTTAAGGAAAATCACTTGGAGAGCACTGTAGAGGATGGACTAAAATGTGGAGAGACTTGAGGCAGGAAGATCAATGAAAAGATGACTGAGAAAATCTAGGTAAGAGTGAATAAGACCCTGAACTAAGGCAGCAGCTGTAGAAATAAAAAGAAGGGGATCAGATGTGAGAGATGTCATGGAAGGCGAAGCAGCAAGACTTGGAAACCAATCGTATATGTTGATGCCATTTGGAAGACTTAGGGTCAGTGGGTAGAAGTTGAAGAGAGGAAGGTTTTGAGTCCATGTGAGGTGGAAGTTCCTTAGCAATTAGAGCTGTGCAGAGGTATAATGGGCAGCTTTGGGGGTAATGAGCTCTCCATCACTGGAGATTTTCCTGCGGAGGCTATATCACCATCTGTTAGGGACATTGAGGGGATTCATGTTCAGGTACGAGGTGGGCTAGGTGACTCTTGAGTTTCCTCCCAACTCTTATATTCTGTGGTTCTTTGACCCTTGATTTTCACATTTCACTGATGGTGCATCTTAGGTTCATAGGGTACCGTGAGAGTTTGATTCTCTGGACCAGATTTGTTAATTGGGCCCTCCTGCTTTTGCTGTGCCATCTCTTAGGAAAATAAAACCACACTTGGTTGAATCACACTAATATTTGTGTGTGTGTTCATGTGTGTGTGTGTGTGTGTGTGTGTGTGTGTGTGTGTGTGCATATGCCTACACCAAATTCGGAGGTTTGCATTTTATGCATCTGGGTGCAGGTGAATACATTCTATTCTTAGCCCCTCACCTGGATTCATTTACTCACTTCATGAGAACCATTCCATTACATGCAAATCTTCCTTTGCTTGCTTAAGTGCCCTGTTCAAGGTGCAAGTTAAGTGCCAGAGCTGCATTTAAGATAATGTAGTGTATTACAGCAGTGTATTAAAGGAGAGAAGCATTTACTAATAGAGTCAATGACAAGTTGGATGATGAAGTGACAGAGATATTGTCGAGGGAATTCTTGCATCAGAGAAAGGCTGGATAACCTTCGAAGTTCTATCTAGTTCTAAGAGTCTGCAGTTCTGTTTGTATACCATATTTTCACAAATGGGAAGCAATATTTGTGCTCCAAAACCCAAAGCTGTGATCAGCTTATTTTAACTCCAAGCTGAAATTCTGATCAAATTTCTTAGTTTCCCATCTTTTCAGAAGTATTGAATTCAGTGCCTCAATGATAATGAATAGATTAATCCAATCCACTTTTTAGATCGAAACATTTTTTCTGATAGAACAATAAGCAAAAAGGGAATAGAATATCTATTCTATTAAACAATTAATTTTTAAGCCCTTTTAGGCACATAGTTGTCCTTTGTTCTCGAAGAGGACCAAAATGATGTCATTATGTGGGGGGGGGGCCAAGAAACAGAGTGTTCAGCTGTGGCTGATCATACCAATATGAGCTCAGAAGATCTCCCACAGATTGGGCACAAGTAGTCCATATGAACATTTGGAATGGAGATGTCTCTAAATTTGCACATTTCACTCATAGTGCATCTTAGGTTCCTAGGATACCATGAGATGCACTGATCTTAGATAATTCCATATTCCATCGAGAGTCACACAGAATTTCAGCATTGGAAGGGATCTTAGAGGCCCTCTAGTCCAAGGAATGGCCATCAGATGGTCTTCTCTTGAATAGCTCTTCTGAGGGAAGCCTCTTGAGGCAGCCCATTCTACTTTCAGATAACTGTTGGGTTTTGTCTTGTTCTGTTTTTTCCTAATGTTAGAATTAAGTCTTCCTCTCTACAATTTTCCTCCCATAGCAATAAGTTCTGATGCCTGAGGCTGAATAGAATAAGTCTCATCCCTCTCTCCATGTGATAGCTGTAGGGCAAAAGGAGAGAGAGTTATTCTCCAAAGAGCAACACAGTATCACAAGAATGGCAGTTTTAAGAAGTGGGCAGATGCCAATGGAGACCAACATAAGTATTTGGCCTTTATCACCTCTAGCTCCACAGACACGTGGCTCAGTCACACAGCAAAATACACGCTCTAATTCAAGGTCCCAGCTACTCAGGACTCAAACTTATGCCGAGTTTAGATAAAGAGTTGACATAACACTAAAAAAACCTACTCCTGTAGGTTTCAAGACCACTGAAATCAGGGTGTTTTCTGAATTACTTAATAAAGGATGAAGAGTGAGGGACAGGCCAGTTTCTCAGTCAGTTAAGTCTTAGAATACATGCATCTTGGGCCCAAACCCATCACACCTATTTTTGCTGGTTCACAGCAGTCCTTCAGATATATGAAGATAGATTTCTTGGCCACCTAGGTCCTCTCTTCTCTGGATTAGACATCTCCAGTCCCACCAACTGATACACATATGGTTTGATCTCAAGGCTCTTCACTATCCTGGTAGCCCTCTTGTGGATACTTCTTATTAATATCCTGCTGCTTACTTCATTTCACTTTTCACTTGTTCTTTTTTTACAGTCTTTTACCATCTTGGCATGACATCAAACTGCTTTCTTTGGTAGATTGTGGTCTTCTTAAAAACTGTGAGCTTATCTCCTCTTTCTTTTGTATCTTCTCAAAGTGACTTCACAGCCATTAATGTTTGGGAACTTACTGACTGACTTGTCTCTATGTGCCTGAATTAAGAAAGTGTATTCAAGTGCTCCCTCTGAGTATTCAAGTTCAACCAGAGTCACCATTAGGAATTTTGGCACTTAGAGAAAATTCAGCTGAGTGTGTATATGTGTGTGTGTCCAGGGTGGGGGCTTGGTAGCTAATGTAGAAAGAGTTTAAGGAGATAAAAATCATGGGAGCTAAGAGGATTGCGAAACTGGGGGAGTGGGTCAGAGTATCCAAAATGGCTACAGCTTGGAGTGGGAAAAGAAGATACTGTACTTATGGGAGAATAGAAAGAGTCACCTGGAGGACCATAAATGGCAGCCAGAAGGATTTGGACAGAATGAAATAAGTATCAAAAGGGGACATGTGTTTGTTGAGTAATGGTGGAAGATAGAGGGTCTGAAAATGTCAGTGGAGAGCAAAGAGTGTTCCAATTCCTCCCATGGCCCTTTGTGTCAGGGAAAATGAGAGCATCCAGCCTTGGAGAGATAATAAGATAGTGAACCTTAACACACTATATAATTGTTAGCTGTTGTTGTTGTTACAGATTGGGACTGAACCTGTGATTCTGTTGGTATGGGGAACTCTGGAAGGATGAAACCCTCTTCCCAATGCAGGTCAGTACCTTCTCTGCAATTTATAGTCTTAGAGAATTGCCTAGGGTAGGCCTTCTTAAACTTTTTCCACTCTCACTCCCCTCCTCTTCCCCCCCAACCCTCCCTCAAGTTGGTTGCGTGGCCTAAGGACATTAGCAGTACAAAATGTGCATGCTTTGTGTTCAGAACCAAGGCTGTAGTGAAGTTGAGATGCAACACTGGAAAGTGCTGCCAGAAACACCTGGGATTCATAATGCATTTGATTTTTGCATTAATTTTTTGTCATTATACCTTCAGAAACCTTTTACTGTTGCCAAAATTTTTTGCACCCATATAGGGTGGTGATCCACAGTTTAAGAGGCACTGCGCCTAGACCAGAGGTCCTGGGACTCATGTGGCACATAATTCTCCCCAGTGCAGTCCAACCAGAATAAAATTAATTGGGAAATATTTAACAAAATAAATAAAAATATAATAAAACATAGATAAATGTTAATATGTGGTTTTCTAAGTCAATATGTACCAATAAGAGATCATTTCATGTGGTTTAGTGGCCCCTGGGTCTATTTGAGTTTGACATCACTGGCCTAGAGCACTGAGATGGTAACCAAGAACTAGATGGGATCTCTTAGAACTTAGATGGGACCTGTCCATTGTCATTCAGGCAGTATGAACCCAGAGTCTCCTTGGCTTTGAGGACAGCTCTCCAAGCACTATACTGCTGCCGCCTCCTCCTCCTCCTCCTCCTCCTCCTCATCATCATCATCATCATCATCACCAGCATCACCAGCATCATCATCAGCATCATCATCATAGTCTATCATCAATTAGAAGATAATAATAATAATCAATTATTATTAGGAGAGGGTGAGAAAAGATGAAGTATCTTCAGGAAGAAGCTAAGCTCAGTTCTGTAGGCAAGAAAGATAGAAGGAATTTAAGAGGAAGAGAATTGGGATTAGAGATTTAGAACTTGAAGGGACCTTATAAGTATTTAATCCAACTTCTTTATTCAGCAGATGAGGAAACTGAGGCCTAGAGAATAAAGTGACTTTAGATTTGAATTCAGATTTTCTTACTCTAAACATATGGGACTTTACCCTGAACTGTAATAAAGAAGAGTCTAGTGGGTGAAACAAAAGGGAAGTCAGAGGAGGTAAGTAAATAAGGAGGGCTAGGACTGAGTTTGAGGCAGCTAGGTGGTTCAGTGGATAGCACATGGACCTGCATTCAAATCCAGCCTCAGACACTTACTAGCTGTGTGACTGTCGGCAAGTCACTTAACAGCTGTCTGCCTCAGTTTCCCCATCTGTAAAATGGGGATAATAATAGCACTTATTTCCCAGGGGTGTTTTGAGGATAAAATGACATAATATTTGTAAAACACCTTGCAAACTTTTAAGCACCAGGTAAATGCTAGATATTATTAGAGGAAATATCTTTCAGGCATGTGGGACCAGCCTATGCAAAAACTTGGACCAAGCTAGGTAGGTAACAAGCAGGAGACGGAATTAAGTATTCGATCCTAGTGGTTACAGGGGACCACTGGCGTTGAGCAAGGGAGTGACATGGTCAGATCCATGCTTCAGGAATATCGCTTTGGCTGGTAAGTGTCTGAGGTCGAATTTGAACTCAGTTCTTTCTGACACAGTCCCAGAGCTCTATCCATTGCGCCATCTAGCTGCGCCTTTTGTCTCTGCCTTTTGAGCTCCCTAGTTTTCTAGTTCTGAGACAGCAAATTGACAGTGGGAGGTGCCACTGTAGCCCTGGAGCAGCCTGCAAGAATTTTGCACAACTAGGGTTACAGAAATAGTTTTGGGACCCCTAAAATTGTCAGTTGGGTCATGAGGCAGGGGATAGACTTGAGCTTCCTGTGGGCAGTGATCTGTCTTACCTAAACTTTGCATCTCTCCCAGCACCTGCCAGGGACTTGATAAATGTTGTTGTTGTTGCTGTTTTTAATTTGAATTGACCTCCAGCTGCTTTCTATCGGGATCAGATCCTAGCTACAGGCCTGCCCTTATTTTGCAAAACTAAATTATATTTCCTGGTCTCAATAGACCTGGCAGGCCAAAAGTTGCTGTGCTTAATTAATTAGCTAGAGGAACTGTGACTTCACCGTTCTATACTTTCTAGCTAATGGGCTTCGCTAAGAAGCCTCTAACCAAGATTTCTACTCAGATCATACAAAATAAAGCCCATTTGTAACTTAAAGTTGGTTGTAGATTTCTCTTCCTCAACCACCCAGGCTGTCAGGCCCCTCCCCATATTACTGGGGAAAGCAGAGAATAGATGGGGTTTCCTCTGGCAGTCAGTGAGTGTGCAGCATGCTTCCTTAAGCCAAATTCTTGTTGTGTTAATTAAAAACCAAAGATGGCTTTGATCACAGGAGACTTCATTGCATAACTGGTTTCAATGTGCTATTGTTTTCACTTGCTTTTTCCTTCCCCCTCCCTCCTCCCTGCACCCCGTGATGGAAATGATTTGCGTTTCACACTGGGCCTGAGATCATATTTAAATGTTTCCTGGGTTTGATCTCCTTACAAGGCATTAACTAATGTTTCTGCTGACGCGCCTAGTGGCGGCAAACAGATTTTAATTAACTTCAAGCTATTTGAGCTGCCATTATGGGAAGTGGCAGCTAAGGTGTTAGAACCTGCTGCTTTCTAGCCTGCATTAGTAATAATGCCATTTTGTAATTTTGTACTTATATAGCTCAGAGGGTTTTTTTCTTAAGGCTGGAGGAGGTAGTTATGGGGGAGGAGGGGAGAGTGTCTAGTCAGAGAACTAGGTTTCTCTTAAGTTGACTTGACTTGGGCAAGACAGCATTTTTCCCCTGGCTTTTCCCAACTCATTAAAATTGTTTCCTACTTATTCTGCAAAGACAATATAGGGGTGAGTGGAACATGGAGATTTCTGGAAAGCTCCTCTGAGGGATTAAAAATGTAGTGCTACCAGAGACCAGGAAACAAAAATGTCGCTTTATTTCCATGTGCCTCAGTTTCCCCAGCCATAAAATGGAAAGCATATTTTAGAGTCTTGTTATAGCAAAAGTGGCTGTAGCATGGCACTTGCCATGCATAGAGCTAGGTCCTTGCCTCAGGGGGTTTATCATTGGTAGAAAGTGCAGTGGGCTTGGACATAAGAATATTTGCTTTTGAGTCAGCAGCCATTTGTCGTAGAACAGTCCTTGATGCTGCGTAAGTACTTTACTTCTGAGTTCCTTAGTCAGTTTGTAAAATTGGAATAGTCTTATCTTTCCTTCCTCTTTTCCTTTTCTCTTCAAGCTCCTCTTAAAAAAAATGGAATTACTCCACAGGCAGGATAGCTAATATTTCTATAGCCCTTTAGAGTTTGCAAAGTGTTTTCTTCATAACTACCTTGGGAAGTGGATAGTACAAATGTTACTGGATACATTTTGCAGATGGGAAAACTGAGGCTATGAGAGGTTAAGTGATTTGTCACATGGTTGATAAGTGACCTGAAGTATGAGGAAGTACGTGTGACTAGTTTATTCCATTTATCCAAGTGAAGGATTCTCTTTGTTCATATTTCTTTCTAAGATCTTTCTAAGATCCCCTAAGCGACCTGAATTCTAGTCCTAATCTACTCCCAGGTCCCTCACATTTCTCTAGTATCCTGTGATTTCACTGATATGGGTATTCCCCCCAGTTATACAGATATTAACCCAGCCATGTCTGCCTATCTTGTGTGACTCTTCCAAGTCTTCCCACATGTTTGTCACGGGGTCCACAGAATGTGCTGAGAGTGTCCAATGTGTTGGGTTCTTTTGATACCATGAGTGCGCCAGCAGAGAGCTTTGGGCTGTCCATCAGTTGTGCTTCACTTTTATCATCTGGTCACCCATTTCTTTGGTAACCCTCATTCTATGACTTGTCTTCTCTAGTTCATTGTAATGTCTTGTAGCCCGATTGCACCCACCATGCCCTTGGCTATTGCTGTTTGTATGATTCAAGGAAGAAATATGACCAAGTGGCAAGAACCTCGGCTTGGGATTCAGAGGACCTGTGTTCCAATTCTGCCTCTGATGACTATCACTGATTGGACCTCTATGAGTCTCTTTTTCCTCCTCTATAAAATCAAGGGGTTGAACTAGTCTCTAAGGCTCCTTCCAGCTCTCAGCCCATGATCATCCACTTTATTTCTTCAGAGGTCCATCACCATACAACATCACCAGAAGAACAGTGATATTAAAAAGATGGGCCTTTGTTCAGTGATCCTTACATTAAAACCAGTTAATAAGTTTATGTGATCCCAAGCTCTGAAAATGAGGTACCTAGTTAGCATTTACAACAGGCAGCATTATATAGCATTTTAAAGTTTGCAAAGTGCTTGTTAAATAAGATCTCATTTTATCCTTGCAACAATCTTGGGAGATAGGTGTGATTGTTATTATCCCTGTTTTCCAAATGAGGAAACTGAAGCAGAGAGAGGTCAAGTAAATTGCCACAAAACTAATATCAGGCTGGATTTTGAACTCAAGTTCAGAAATAGCAGCTAAGTGGCCCCAGTGCATAGAGTGCTGGGCCTGGAATCAGGAAAACCTAAGTTCAAATCCAGCCTCAGATGACATTTATGTGACCCTGAGCAAGTCACTTGACCTCTGTTTGCTTCAGTTTCCTCAACTGTAAAATGGGGATTATAACACCTACCTCCCACAGTTGTTGTGAAATTCAAATGAGATATTTGTAATGTTGCCAGCACAGAGGAGGAACTGTATAAATATTTATTTCCTTCAAGTCTTCCTGACTCCAGAACTGGAGCAATTACCTAGCTAATTTAGGGTATACTCTAAAGATGAAGTATAGTACAATTTTATTTCTATTGCCTTGTGCCCTTACCTTCTCTCTGTTCTCTCCACAGGCTACCCCATCAAACAGCCCAGAGCCAAAAATACCCACCAAGAAGATTGCTGTGCCTGGGCCTTTTCTGCTTGCAAAGAGAGCAGCCTACAAGCTTCCTTGCATGCAGTAGAATGTTGTCTGTCTGCCAGTTAAATGGTTCTGTCTCCACCAACTGATTTAGGCACCATTTTCCCAGCTTCACGGAGAAGCATGTAGCAATCTCTCTCTGGGAAAGAAGAGAGACAGTGAAAAAGCTCTGGCTGCTATTCTCCTAATTTTCTTTCCCTAATCCCTTCCCCTGTTCAGAGAGAGATAATCTTTGTTTATCTTTCTTGATCTTTCTGAATCTCTCTAATACATTTCCATAAAAGCTTTGATGTTTTTTCCCCCTGACACCAATTTCCACATCTTTCTTTTAAAGCGGTAACTTGGAATTTTTAAATTTCATTTTCTTAAGTTAAAGAGCATCAGAGTGTCGAAATGGATACAGCACTGGACCTGGAGGCAGGAAGACCTGAATTCAAATCCAACCTCAGATACTTCCTAGCCCTGTGATCCTGGGTAAGTTACTTAACCCTATTTGCCTCAGTTTCCTCATCTATAAAATGAACTGGAGAAGGAAATGGCAAACCAGTACAGTATATTTGCCAAGAAAACCCCAAATGGGGTCACAAAGAGTTAGTCACAACTAAAATGACTAAATAAAAACGACAAAGTAATTCAATGATATGCCTTGTTAGGTATGGATGTTGTCGGCCAAATTCTCTCTCTGGATGAGTACATGTGCATCTCCAGGTAGCAGTGATAGATACTAGATACATGTATAGAAGGGGCAGGGAGACAGATGGGAATTGGGGCTCAGCTTTCCTATTGGAAATGGCAAGAATGTTGTTCATCTTTCCTCTTGAAGAGGACCAATGACAAATGTGCTTAAATAAGACCCACTGTAGTATGGAGTTTTATACAGGTACCTGAGGGGAATCCAACTTTGACTTTGGTCACGAAAGTAGTATTGGAAGGATTGGATTTAAGGAGTGGTGCCTTTGTTGCAGGAAAGAAAGCAGGATAAAGGTGCCCAACCCTGCCCAAAATTTTCAGTCTTGCTAGATGAAGCTCCCAGGTTGATTTGCATGGACCAGGTGAATGATGGGAGTTGTAAGCTATTTTACCCAGAGTAGCCATATTCAGGAAGTGGCAGCTGAGACAGAAGAAATTTTTTAATTTTTTTTTTTTTTGGCTAGGCAATGGGGTTAAGTGACTTGCCCAGGGTCACACAGTTAGTAAGTGTGGCCACGTTTGAACTCAGGTCCTCCTGGCTCCAGGGCAGGTGCTCTATCCACTGCGCCACTTAGCTGCCCCATGAAGAAAAGCATTTAAAAGACAAATAATGCCCAAGGATTTCCTGAATGAATGAAGAAATTAATAAAGGAGCATTTATTAAGCCTTTACAATGGGCCAAGCACTGTGCCAAGCTCTGGGGATACAAACACAGGAATGGTGGATTGAGCCCTTAAGGGAGTAAATGGACAAATCTTCCGGTATCTGATTATGAAAAAGGAGGAGAGACTAGAGTGTTGATGTGACAGGTAAGAAGATACACAGGGAGGAAAGTGAAACACTTTCCAGCCACTAGGTGGCTGGAGGCTACCTCCTGGAGGCTATCCGGACAGTGGTAAGAGGGAGGCAGGAGGAGATGACAGGAGCTCTGGAGCTGAAAGGCTATATACTCTCTGAGTGGCTATGGATAGAAATCACAAAGACCTGAGATAGCGCCTGGGGCTATGAGATAAAAGTGTGGCTCTTTCTGGAAAGATCTATCAGTTGCACATTCAGCAGAAACCCAACAGAGGACAGCTCAGCGGACATCACAACCTCAAAGCACAGCAGAGCAAATGGATTAGCAGAGGACTCCAACAGTTTGCTGGCACAGTGAATAGCGTGCCAGGCCTGGAGTCAGGAAGATTCATCTTTCTGAGTTCAAATCTGTCCTCAGACACTTGCTACCTGTGTGACCCTGAACAAGTCACTTAACCCAGCTTGCCTCTGTTTTCTCATCTGTAAAATGAGTTGGAGAAGGAAATGGCAAATCCCTCCAGTATCTTTGCCAAAAAAAAACCCAAATGAGGTCATGAAGAGTCTGACCGAGACTGAACTAGAAGTTTGCAGCAGGGGGAAAGAAGCACCTCACAGCCTGAGGGCATTATGAGACCTGCAAATCACACTAGCAGCCCTGCAGAAGCCTTGGAGGCAGAGAGGGCCTCCAGCAGTTATTCTAGTCCGTATGAAGCCCTAGGAGCATGAGTTACTTTGACTATGCCTGTTTCCTTGGTGTACCCATTCTTGACTAAGTGGGGCTCTGTACCATGTCATTTTTACTACTACCTCTTCCATTTCTACCTCTCACTTCCTGATGACTACATAGGGCTTGTTTTCACCAAATACTTACCAAAAACAAATTGACTAATGATGCTTTGTGCTAGGCATCTCATTAATGCTTCATTAGGCACATCTTGCTAGAACCTAAAATTATAGGTAGCTTCTCATAGGAAAAAAGTTGGCAGTCCATGTAGTAAAAATGACTAAAAGATCATAAGAGGTTTAAAACACATGTTGTAGTGAAAAGAGTAATTTGGAATTAGAAGACCTAGGTTTAAATCCTGGTTCTGATACTACCTCTCTGTGAGAGCTGGGGTACTTAACCACTCTGACGTTCAGGCTCTTTATCTGTAAAATGAGAGAGTACTAGATTTTCTCAAGACCCCTAACAACTCTATGATCCTAGCTAATGTCCCTGGCAAATTAAATATAAAAAAACCAACCCTCTATTTTCCTAAGATTCTGTAGCCACAGAAATGTTTTGGGAAGTGGGGGGTAGGGAGGGAGAGTGAAGGGGGAGCTGGGAAACCAGAGTAAGGAACTTTATGTGATTTAATTGGTATTGGAAACTCTTCATGAGGAAACTCCATCTACCAAAGCTAAGAGGCACTCGCTTTGTGACTTAGTCTTTGAGAGTTGCCTGGGGACACTGAGAGGTTAAATGTCTCTCCCAAAGTCACACAGCGCTGACTGGCCAGAGTCAGGACTTGAACCCAGTTCTCCTGGATTCCAAAATTCTCCATCCATCAAGTCCCTCATGCTTGAACTCTATTCAGTTTTGAAGATTTCAGAGTTCTTTGCCCTGTTTTTGGGAATACACTTACGACTCTTTCCAAAGTCTAAAGGTATGTGAAGAGAGAAAAGGAAGAAAACATCTTCCTGAGTCAAACTTCTACATTTCAATGTTTCATAGACTATTTTTTCCAGATTCCAATTCATTTCAGATTTGTACTCCAGGTTCAGATCTTTTCTGATTTTATCAGAACATGCCCAGTCCACTCCGTACATCAACAATCTCCAACTCATCTTACCCATGGCAGGAAGAAGTATGTAAAGAGGGGAAGTTCCAAGCCGGCTTAAAAAAAAAGTTTAAGTTGACGACTTTGGGGATCATTGAAGAGTTTGTTTTGTGGTTTGCTGATCGCCAGTGTGGGCAGTGGAACCAAGTCTTTCCCTTTTGGCTTCCAGATCACTCGTGGGATAGACATGGTTGCTCTGGCTGTTCTGGTTTTGATTTCCAAGTTGGCTCCTTGCCATCCATGGCTTTCTCTCCACCCTTACTCCATTCCCCCTTTTCCTCCAAGCCTCTCACTCTCTATGGTTTCACTGCCTGCCAGGCCTGACACCTGGAGGCTATTGCTGAAGCAGACTGCCCTGTGGGCAATCAATCCACTGGGTAAGAATTTTAATTCTTGATCAAAAACTTGCTGGTTTTTTTTTTCTCCCCTCTATTTAGAAATTTCTTTGGGAGCCCCGAGATCATGTGTCTGCAATTAAGGAATGTATTTATTGGAATAAGTTTTTTTTCTGAGGGAATGTCATCCTTCTGGTGTGGCTAGGTTTAGCTTGTCTGGCCAACATGTAGTCCTCTACGACTCACTTGCCTGCTTTCTCCCCTCTCCCCCTGCATCTCCTCCCTCTTTTCTACTTGGGCTCTGCTCTTTTCTTTCCTCATCCCTCTACCTGATCCCTGATCATGCCCTGCCTCCTTCTCTCTGGCACTTTCGAGCTAAAGGTGCCTTAATGCTCCCAATCATATTCAGAACTTCTCGTCTTACGTGTGGTTTACAAAGAAATCTAGCATGTCAGACATTTCCCTGCTTGCTGAATACCACAGAAGAAAGAAATGACGGCAGCATAATGTATATCAGAAGAATTATCTGAACTGAATGCCAGCCAGCAGGCTTCTTCCAGGTTTCTTTCAGTTTATGGTGTACAGAGGTAGATAACACAGCATCAATTTTCTCTTTCCTTTTTCTTCTTAAATGAGTATTTGATTAAGTTGGATGTGGATCTGCAATGTTTCACCTTTTACTTTTGTCCTACTGATTTAAGGATTCTTTTAAAACCAGTTTTGCTAATCACGAAAACAGCTAAGCTGAGAATTTTGGCTCTCCTTGAGTCCCTTCCACTTAAACAAACAAGCAAAAACCCCCACTGTTTATCAGGGGCCTATGGGCTGTATATCAACCAACAAGAATTTATTAAGCACCTACTACAAAGGCTAACTGTGCTAAGGGCTGGGAATACGAGACAAAAATGAAACAGTCCCTATCCTCTATAAGCTTAAAGCATTGTCCTAAACTGTGGGTGAGATACAGAATTGAGATAAGATAAGGTAGGAAAATCATTAGATAGAATCAGCTATTTTTTGGAATTAATAATATTAATTATTACTTCTTTATAACTATTGAGAATTATTAAGTAAGCATTATTAATTATTAGCACTTAATGTATCTCCAGTGTTGGTAGAGGCACAAATTGGTCCCATTATTTTGGAAAAGTTTGAAATTATGAAAATAAAGTAACTAAATTTATCATCATTTTTCTGGATATTTGGTCACTGCACTGATATAGAGTCCATAAGCCTGTCATGATTGTTTTTCTTTACAATACTCTAGTCATTGTATAACTTATACTTTTTGTTCTGCTCACTTTGCTCTGCATCAGTCCATACAAGTCCTCCCAGTCTTCTCTGAATCTTCCCATTTTGTCATTTCTTATGACATATTACAATTTCATTAAATTCATATGCCATAATTTGTTCAACCACTCCTCAACTGATGGCCACCACTGTAGTTTCTAGTTATTTGCCATAACAAAAAGTGCTATTCGTATATTTTTGTCCGTAGGGGACCTTTCCATCTTTTTTTTTCATCTCTTTGTCTATATGCCTAGTAGAGGCATCACTGAGTCAAAGAATAAAGCTGCATCTATTGTTGAATATGTGTATTTGAACCTCTTCAGTGAGTGGATGTGTATATGTTTGGATCTTTTCAATCAATGAACGAAAGCTCACAGGCTTATAACGCACACGAGTAATTGTAGAATTTTGATTCTAATTCTCTCATATGATTGTATAGAAGGTGCTACAATCTTATCCACCTCCTTTCCCCACCCCAGGAAGGATAGCGTCCACCTAGAGTGAATGTATTCTGGAGGATGGGACTGAGAGCTGATGGAGA